TACAACAGCTTCATGCACTAGTTTGATTATTTGCCGTTTCATGCCGATGAAAAGTTGCGTGTTTCCAGCGGAGCGCGCAGCGTTCAAAGTCGCTACGTTAAAAGCTTCAGTTTAATCACTGAATGGAGCTCGCGACATTAAATTGCTTACACAAAACTCTTGATCGGCACTCAGCGTTTGTTTATTGTTGTTTATTGTTGTCGTTCATTCAAACCGCTCTGCGGAGAGAGAGAGAGAGAGAGAGAGAGAGAGAGAGAGAGAGAGAGAGAGAGAGAGAGGTCCGCGCTCTTGTCCGTCAGTTAATTTACTTATTTGTGTGCAGGTAATATGTTGTTAAATCGGTTTAAACTTCAATAAACGACCTATCCAAGTAGTTCTGTCTCGTTGTATTCATTTGTCCTGTTATTGACGCGCCTAATGCGCAACCAGATATTGGAATATATTCGAACGTCATTTCTGAACAATTTTGACAGCCGTAGTGTTGACAGAACAGAGTGAAGACTTCCCAGTACAGCTACAAGTTACAAAGGAAAAATCAAAAATCGGCACGGCTCTGGACTTTATGAAGACACTGGGCGCATTAACTAATGTGCTTATTATGGTCACTTTGATATTTACACACTCACTTGAGGGTTACAAGCCAGGTCTAACTTGTTCCCCCATTGCTTTTATGGGTGCAATATAACCGTGGATACTATACAACATGGAGATGGTTGTGGATTTCAGGAAGAACAGAGCCCCGCCTTCCACCATCACCCCGTGTGGGCTCCATCATCACCCAGGACCTCAAGAGGGAGCTGAACATCAGCTCCATCCCCAAGAAGGCTCAGCAGAGGGTGTTCTTCCTGAGGCAGCTGGAAAATAAATTCAACCTGCCAAAGACGATGACGGTGCACTTCTACACGGCCATCATGGAGTCCATCCTCTGCTCCTCCATCACCGTCAGGGGGGGACAAGATCAATAGATTCAATTCAATTTTACATTGATTTTATTCTATTTTGTATAGCCCAAAATCGCACACATGTGACATCCGCTGTCCCGAAACCCTCACATTGGCACAGAAAATACATGAATGCAGTACTCTATATCCCAAATCCACACTCTACTGGACTGATGTACAGTTGTATGATGGGAAATGTATAAACCAGGGGCCTGTTTCAATAAGG